AAACCTTGTCTAGCATCTCTTTCAGTTTTGCAATTGGTCCACTAAAAGGTATAACAAACAAAACATTTGCCTCTTGCAAAATAACAAAGGCAGGAGACAAGCACATTCACAGTGAAACTGCAGAAAAACAGAAAGCAGACAAGCAAGGAATAAGTAGTTAACTCCTGCCCCCTGTATCATTTCCTGGCTCTGTAACAGGAGCTGGGGAGAGAGCTTCCTGTTTGGCTGTTTGCCTACTGGAACTTGGAACTAGATCCAGCTCCAAATAGTATGGTTCATGGTTACCACCACAGTTGTGGCTACCAGCATGCCCTCTTCTTTAACAGTCTGCATATTGTGTGCGAGTGTCAGGTGCTGTTCTTCAGTCAAGTAGGATTAAAGACTATTGCCAAAATTGGCTCTTCCTTGCTATTTCACTGAGATGAATTGCTGTGGGTGAGCTCACACCTCTGAGTTGTTGATTCTGGTTATCTTTGGACTCGGACAGATATCATTACCTCAGTAACAGTTGGCGGGTGGGGATTCTTTGCAACGGTGACATTAGAAAGAGAAGGTTCAAATCCCGTATACTCTGCATGTTCCACAAACTATATCCATAAGTTGGATGCAGCCTGGGAACCATGTCGGCTCCAAAACCGTATGCTGGTTCAGGCGTGCCTCAGGGAAAAAAGCTGATGTACTTTTTGTGGTGCTTATTGAATAAAAGGATTGCTTGGAAGAAGACATATAGCTGTGGTAAAATGCTACTTGGCTATTTCCTGTTCTTTGAAAATAATTACAGGCTGCCTTTGAAATAAGGTGCTGCAAGCGGAGCTATACAGGATACACTCATCTCTATTCATAGATCTTGATATACTTATGTATTCTTTGTAGGTTGGGGAAAAGGGCTTGTAGTCAAGAGGCTTGTCATTGCCCATTTAATTTTTGGAGTCTTTCTTCCTCCTGCTTGGAGGGTATTAGAATATTCAGTCAACTCTTCTTGGTAACGTATTGCTTATTGATTTTTTTTGAACTGGTCTCTCCTTATTGGCCCCAAATTCATCCTTTTACCTCCTTTCTTTTGGGTAGATGGAGCTGCGTAACTGTCTATGGAGTTTGTTGTAGGGCGGAAGAAAGTAAGACCATAGCAAACAGAATTGTCCTTGGGCAGCTTTCTGTTCCTTCCCTGGCCCTTTCCTTTCTCACTACTCTTTAATTCTCTTCAAATTTGCAGTGAAATAAGTAATTGTAAAGAAAATTTTCATTGTACTGTGCAGCTGTAATGACAAAAATCAGTTTCTACATTTTGGAAAGAGGGGCTCTCAGAGACATTCCTTGTATTTGGAAGTACAGTTACTCTAGGAGGAAGAACGCTGTCAAATCCCAGTGTTAGATGTTTTTACAAATGCTTTTGGAAGCTGTATTAATTTATACAAACATATCACAGGCTTCATCCTGTACAGAGGCCAGGTGGAGGAAGCGAATGCAAGTAGGTGCATGCACGTGTTAGGTGATGGTTAAGCAGGAAGCAAACACTCCACTGAGACTGCTACTTTGCTGCTTCCAAGTTTCTTAGGCCTACAAATAGGATTAAAGCCTAAGAAGGGAATGAGTTGCTAAGCCATTTGGAGAACATTTCATTTGCATCTTCTGTGTGTGGCATAGTCTGTTCTCTTCCTGATTCCTTTTCTGTGTTCAGTCTCTGCTTTATGTGGTGGAGTGCAATGACCTTGCGCTGTTTGGGCATTGTACAGAGACTTGTGTTTTCAAGGCCTAGCTGTGAGACATGCACTGAGTGCAAGCATTGTTTTATTTTCTTTTTTTAAAGATAAAGTGAAATCTTTCCGGGCAGCTCTACAAGAGGAGGAACAGGCCAGTAAACAGATCAATCCGAAGAGACCGCGTGCCCTTTGAAACGGGCCTCTGCTGCTAAAGGCTCCCCTGAACCCTTACTGCTGTAGCATACAGTTGTAATGAAATGGTGGCTGTAAGAACTCAACTACTTGAAAGTGTAAAAACTTTTGAAATGTCTGTGGAAATGTCCTGTTTCTTCTTCACCCCGATGACATTTTCAGTTTTGTGTGAAACACTCCTATGATGTCTACAAAATGCTTCTAGACCAGACAGCACAACCATGCAGGGTTCGGATCTGTGAAGCGCTTTGTTTAAAATAGTTCATTTATTCAAATTGTGAATCTTTGTTTTGGAAATCTTTGCCATTTTTTGATAATGAAGTAAAACTGTGGACTTGAAAAACTTCACAGTATTTCCTTTTAAATCTGTTCAGTTTTGTTACAAGGCCCAGCTGTGCAGTTCTGTTGTTTGCTTGCATGCACATCTCATCAGTGATTGTACATAACTGCTCTTCTAGAGACAGCTGTGCTTACCTCTCCCCATTCTGTGCCTTGATGAAGGCTACTTGATCCTAAACCTTCTCTTTCTGAAGCACAGCCTTAATAAACAACATTCCTTATTTGTCAATGTAAATTGCTTTTAGTGTGTGTACATTTTTAATGTATTTCTGGTGACTAGTTCATTTCACAGGATGTGCCATATCATTGAACAGGAACTAAAAGAGCTGTGAGAGTGGACAGACAGCTGGACATTCCATCATTCCATTCTCCTTATTTAAAAAAAGAAAAAAAAAAGGAAAGAAAGAAAAAGAAAAAAAAAATCTGGACGCTGGAATCATTTGACTCCCATACCGAGTGGTTATATAACTATCAATTTCTTTGTAAAGAAAAAACCTATAAATTAGTTGATGTATAATAAAAAGTAACATTTAAGTATCGAGGAGAGTTGTATCTTAGGGAAATATGGATATACAGTATGTGTACTTTTGTGATAATGCTGTCAGAATAAAGGTGCAATCTGGTCCCTATGGGTAGGACGAGTGTAAAGTGCAGGGATCCAAGTAATGGCATACACGAGTACCTTTTCACATACTGTTAGAAAATTGGCTTCTGATGCATGATAATGTCCATGTACATTAACTGTAGTTTGCAGGTAGTGTTGAGTAGTACTATTGCTTTAAAAAAAGTAGCTAATACCTATTTTTCCCTTTGTACAGTGCCAGCAGCTGAAAAGTGGGTGGATTTGCATCATTTGAGGATTTGCACAATACCTCTACTTAGTGATATAGAAATCTCACCAGTACCTGAAATCTCACAAATGGCGCCATGTGTATCAGTTCTTTTTTAAGTAGTGACATTTGAGTTTTTTTTGCAAGTCAATATCTAAAAGAAAAATTGCCCTTTTCTGTAAGAACTTTGTCAGATGAAGACTTGTAGACCTCTCTAGGAGTTCTCCCTGTTTCCAGGACAGATTCCAGGAGTTCGTATCAGCCGGCTGTCCCTTAGAACTGCTTAAAACTTTTTTGGAACACAAGCCCATTTGTGCAGAGGCTGAAGGGAAATAAAGGGAAGGCAATGAAAAGAGAGCTAAATGAGCCAGAGATTATCTTAGTGTTTTGATGTCTGTGTCTCCCATAGGAAGGTGTAGACTATGGGAAGCTCTTGTTGCATCATGGTAAAAAGCTCCTATGTGTAAACATGAAAGCTGAAACAGCAATGTAGATTTTACACAATGTTTAATAAATTAAACTCTGAAACATAAATTAGAGATGAGAATTTACTTCTATGCAAGGCACATCTGCTTTGTAAACGCATCTGAATTTTACCATCTAAAAATGTATTTTAAAAGGCATGTGGTGCTAGAACATGTGTGCGCGTTCATGCCAATGACTGTTCTGTGCAGGCTTGTATCATATGAAACCATTCCCAAGCATTTCACTGACTTCACTTCGGAAACGGCTATGTTGAAGTATCTTTCATGGCGTTCGTGTAAAAATGCCATCCATCAATAAGAGACAAATTTGATAAAACCAGTTGCTCTATTGATATATTTTTTTTGCGCCATTTAGCCCCGTACTATCCACAAGTCAAAAGTGCTTGCTGTTAGTTAAAATGATTGGACAGTAAGGCTTAAATGTAGCTCTGCTTTAAAGGGAACAATATATCATGTGGAAGATTTGTGCTTTAGGCATCAAGAAAGCAAGGATCCCGGGTTGATTTAACAAATCAACTTCCAAGTTTGTCCTGTAAAATGAGTCTAATCAAACATGCCTCTGTAAAATGCTCTAAAAACCTCTGATGCATTGTGTGCAATGCATTATCAGCTTCCAAAGCATTTTGGTACGAGTAATGATAACACTGTTTACAGAGCTCAGTTTTCACGAGCACCTGTACAAATAGTTTAAATGTGAAAGTGATAAATCTGTATGCCCAGACCTGGAAAGGACACTGATATGCTGGATTATAAATTTACCCAGACTTTTACAGTTTCCCAATAACAGATCTATTTTCCTGTTTTCAGCGTCATCAGGATTGTTTATACAGGTAATTCTCAACTGGGTGTTTTGTATCTCCTGATGCTTGTCACATCCCCTGACCTTTTACTGACATCACATATGAGTTTGTATTGGTGCAGAAGCATTATTATTATTGGGTTTTTTGGTAAGAGAAAGCTCTACTTACTAAAAAGGAAGGAGCATAATTTTATGAGCATGACTTGCTGTCATAGATTCATAGACGATCTATTGAGGTCCCTTCTGACCCTAACTTCGAGTCCGACCCCCTGCATAGGCAGGAAAGA